CTGGAAAACTGCAAGGTTTTGAGCAGTCATATTAGGAGGCCAAATTCGCTACTCCTGAGAGTACCCTGACTGACACTCACCTCAGAGATGGTAATTTCAAGTTTTGTGAAATTTTTTATATTTAAGTTCTCTGAAAAAATTTGACAAAATCCTCAAAAACGTCATATGTCGAAAACTACAAAAATTTGAGAAGCCAGATTCAGAGGCAAGATTCGCAACCCCCACAGAGAGTGCCCTCAGAGATTCGAATAATAGGATTAAGAGAGTTTCAAAGTTTTGGAACTTTTTAACATGTTTTTTTGAAAACTTCGAAGAAAATAATAGAAAACGTCAGATCTCAAAAACTACACGGATTTGAGCAGTCATTTTTGGAGGCAAAAATTGCAGCCACAGAGATCAGCATATCAAATTTTGCAAATTTTTTTATATCTTAGTTTTCTGAAAAATTTTGAAAAAATCCGAAAAAAAGCCTCATATCTCGAAAACTATAAGGAGTTAAGCAGCCATAATCAGAGGCAAGATTTGCAACCCCTGAGAGTACCCTCACAATATCCAACTACAGGGTGAGAATTTCAAAAATTGAGAAACTTTTTAAAATTAAATTTTCTAGAAATTTTTGAAAAATCTCGAAAATTGCCTATCTCGTAAATTAAAATGATTTGGATATTTATATATGGAGGCCAGAATCTCAAAACCTGGGAAAACTCAGACAACATCCCACTATTGGGTTGCTAATTTTAACTTGATGAAATAAACACTGAATTTTAACTGGAAATTCGACAAAAAAACCTTAACCATTGCAATATACGATATTGCTTAAGCGTGAAAAAATTCTTACAGGTATACAGACAACTTGGCCTCGAAAAAATTTATGAAAAATTAATGAATTTGCGGAAAACTAATTGAAGAATTTTATTAAGCATTGCAATATATGATATAGCTCAAACATGAAAAAATTCTTTCGTTAAACATGCAAAATTAATATGTTTAAGCATGGGAGTTAGCTGTCACTCGCATTTAAATATAGTATAGATAGATTGATTCATTAAAATTAACTAGCGTGTAACGCACCTCCGGTGCTTCGAATTTTTGAAAGCTCACAAAAAACCCATATATTGGAAATAAGATAAGCATCCTTTGAGTGTACTTTGATAGCACCCGAAAACAGGGTTGGTAATCTCAAATTTTTTTGAAGTTTTTAGAAAAATTTTAAAATGACATAAAAAACAGTCACATTTCGGAAAATAAAAGCGGTCGAGTAGTCGCATTTCGACGCAAGATTTGCATCTCCTGAGATTATTCTCACCGTACCCAACTTCAAATTTAATTTTTCTAAAAAAAAACTTTTTGAAAAACCATAAAACGTCATATCTCGAAAACTAAAAATAATTCGAGGAGTCACATTTAGAGGCGAGATGCGCAACCCCTGAGAGTGCTCTGACAGCCCCCAGATACAGGGTTAGGAATTCAAATTTTAAAAACTTTCCAGTACAAAAACTAAGTACCAGTATTTGAGTAGTCATATTTGGAGGCAAAACTCAAACTCCTGGGAGTACCCAGACCGAGCCTCACTATAGAAATAGGAACTTCGATTTTTGTGAAATTTTGGATTTCTACTTGAACAATTTCAAAAAAGCAACAAAGGTCACACCTTGAAAACTAAGAGCATTTCAGCAGTCGAAGTTGGAAGCAAGATTTGCACGTTGAAACTCCAGAGAGTACTTTCACAGTACACAAATACAAGATTGGGAATTTCCAATCTTTAAAGTTTTTCAAAACCTAAGTTCAAAAAATCATAAAACACGTCATATCTCGTAAACTAAAAAGGATTTGAGCATTCATGATTGGAGGCAAAAACCGCAACTCCTGGGGAAGCCCAGAAAACATCCCACTATTCGGTGCTTACATTACACTTGGAAAAAAACACTGAATTCAAACTGGAAATCTAAAAAAATTCTTAACCATTGCAATATATGATATAGCTTAAACATGAAAAACTTTTTTCGTTAAACGAAAAAATAATAATACGTTGAAAAAGCTTAAACATGGCGAGATAGTGTGAGCCCGTATTTAAATATATAATGGATAGATTATGTATTTCAAAAAAATTGCGGAATGTATTGAGTTGGAAAATTTCTGAAATCGAATTTTTATTTTTGTACTGTTGATTGAAAAAACAACTTTTCGGTTCAATCGATAAACGAAACAAGCATCAACTATGTTAAATTATTTCTAATCGAATGTCTAATCACATGCTATCAAAAAGCCGTTAAGATCCCACAAGTGGTACCAATATTTGGGACTTAGATTGAAAGAAAAAAAGAATAGTCGTAGTATAACACTACTCTCGCTTAAGCTGGCTAGTATACTAATAAAGCAAGTAAAATTTGTAAGAAAAATTGTTTAGGGGAAAAGTTTAGTTACTGATTACAAGATAATTGTTCTCGCAAAAGTGCCACAGAGGCGAAACGGAACTTGAGAAACAATTCAAGCAAAAAAACTTAAGAAATCGAAGTGAAAAAGAAAAATGTTGAAAAAACTAAGTTTACGAAATTGTTGAATGTCTCGTTAAGCAAGCTGGAGACCCAGCTAAAGCTTGAAGTGCCTGATTGATAATTTTTAAATTTGGTAAACTGATGCAGGCTGAAATAGTTAAATTCTTAAATTTCAGAAGTTGGATTTTGCCAAACCCTTAGTTGTTTCTCTACTAACATAAATTTGGATTTTTCCCGAGAACATATAGCAGGAAAAATTCTCCTAACCAGTTCTTTCGATTGAACTCTTCATCTCAGATTTGATACAGTATTTAAAAAAACAATCAGAAGTAAAAAAAAACGCGATTATCCGAAATCCAAAATGTCTTTCTGCAAAACGTATGTAGTGGCCGCTTTAGGCAGATAAGATTCCAAAAATCGGGTTTCTCGGATGAAAAAATCTCCAATCCAAGAATTGGCAGGGTAGTTTTCGAGAAAAACCAAAGTTTCCAAAAAACTGTCAGAGTTTCAAAACTTTAACATTTTGGAAGGCCATTATTTATTTCTAAAAAAAATTGGGAGTGGTCTCTTGTGTAGTTAAGGTTTTTAAAAATCTGTTGTTAGATTACACCCTTGATATCAATATTGCAGGATAGTTATCGAGGAAAGTTAAAAGTTTCCGATAAAACGGTCAACAAATCATAAATGTGACTTTTCTGAGAACCATGGCTTTTTGTTTAAGAAAACTCAGGCATAGCCGCTTATGCGCGAGATATTCACATAACCTGTTGATTCGATTGAACCCAAAAACTCAACTTTCCGAGGGTAGTTTTCGAGAAAGGTAAAATAATTTCAAAACAAAAAAAAAAGTCTTTTCCGAGTGCACAGCATTATGAGTAAAAAATTGAGAGTAGTCGATTATGAAGCAGAAATTCGCTCAGCATGTTATTTCTTATGAACTCAAAAATTAGATTTGCGAGGTTAATTTTCGGGAAAAAACAAACAGTTTCAGAAAACGAAAAAAACTTTTCCGAGGGCCATAACTGTGTGTAAAAACAGGCAGAGTCGATTATGCATGGGAGCTTTCCACAACCCGTTATTTTGGTTGAGCCTAAAATTACAAAATCGGGATGGTGGTTTGTGAAAAAACAAAAAACCAAAAAAATTTTGGCCAAATATTCCCCCACAGACTTTTTCGAAGGCTGTAGACAATGGGGTAAAATTAAAGACTAGGCATGTATGTAGGAACACAGGGTAGTAGGCGATCTTTCCTTAAGATACCCAATTTTGAAAATCGGCAGGATGTTTGGGTAGTTTTTTTGAGAAAAACTAAAATTTATGCAAAAACTGAACACATTTATAACCTCGCGAAAAAACCAAAAAAATGTTGGCCAAAAATTCCCCCTCAGACTTTTTCGAAGGCTGTAGACAATGGGGTAGAAAAAGACTTGGCGTGCATGCATCAAAACAAGGGAGCAGGCGATCTTTCCTAAAGATACCCGTTTTTGAAACTCGGCAGGGTGGTTGGGTAGTTTTTTTGAGAAAAACTAAAATTTATGCAAAAACTGAACACATTTTCCAAAGCGTCTCAGAAAAAAATTAAAACCCCAATTCCATACATTTTCAAAATGTCTGTTTTTATCATGCAGGAACTCTGGGTAAACATGCCAAGCAAAACAATTGAACTTTAACAAAGCAAAGTAAACAAACTTTCGAAGTCTAAACTAATCCGACAATCTTTGAGTCGAAACAAACCAAGCCGAATTTTTTTTATAAACTTTAAGAATTTTTGAGTCTCTCTAAAACTACAAAGAAAAGCAATTGTAACCAACCTGATAATTACTTACAGCGCAAGAAATAACACGATGGAAAAAATTTCAACTTCATACATACTAAAACAGCTAATTGAAACGAAGATTGAAAAAGAGTCATGAACGCAAGTAAACAAAAATAACACAGACTTTGCTGAAAAAATCTCAACTTTCGATTTTCAAAGAAAAAATAGATGCCCTTTAAGCTCTTTGAAATTCAAGAACGATTTATGATTATATTCCACTTTCGAAACTACTTTTCCACGTTCATATTTGGAGAGTGTTTTTTACGTCACTTTCAATTGATCTCAAAAAGTGCATATATACCTAAGTGCATTCATAAATGCATCAATATGTACTTGTTACAGCATTTTAAGACTTTTTCCTGGAAAAAAAAACAAAAAAAATCAGCAAGACCTAAGAGTCTTCACTACGTTCATTACTCTTAAAAGAACAAGGACATACCGGGACTCGAACTCCATACATTAAGTATGAAAAACAATCTGTTCACAATAGTTCGTTCCTTCAATATGCAAAATTCCATTGAATTATGATATCGCTAAATAATTCTGTCAAACCTGAAATTCAAATGCCGGGGGAAATGGAAAAAAGCCGAAGAAAACAGTAATTCTTGATTTTCCTTCCATTAAGTCTTCCAAATAAGATAATCTTACTCGAAACTACGCTTATTAATTTAACCTACACTTGTTTAAAATAAAGGTTCAACTATAAATTAACTACAACAAGAACTCAACTTAAAATTTGTAAACATTAACATATCAACAATTTACATATTTTACAAATTAACAGAAACAAAACAAATAAAGATAGACAACACAAAATCGCACACATTTCTAATCATTCTTCCTTCATTTCATTTCTCGGTCCGTGAATGACTTTGGACTGTTCCTTTGCCTCATTTGCTGAGCCAGTTTTCACATGGTCAGAGCAAATCTGGTGGTTTGCGGCTGTAACTGAGCAATAATCTATCACACTTGCTGTGGGAATCCTGCAACATGGCCCTTGGCACATGGGAATCGAAGGCATGAAAGGATGACCTTGTGCATAATGAGGATGCACGAAAGCTGGGTGCATCATTCCTATACCCCCATTGAAGCTCAACCCGTGATAACCAATCGGAACATCCAATGAGCTCTTTTGATCCACCGGAGCATCCTGGCATCTTCTTACCAATTTCGGTAAATGACTCGTGTTTGCATTTAGTTCTTGCTGAGATGGTTGTTGAATATAGGCCATGTGTTGATGCATCAATTGCGGAAACATATGATTCGGTACCATTGAGTGGTAAGGACTCAGATGGTTTCCATGATTCTGAATCAAAGGAACGCCTGTAGAATCCATATATTGACCAGCTCGGCCAACTTCTTTACCTTCCACTTCAGCGATGTTTTTCACATCATTTGAACAACTTGTATTCATGGATTTATTCTTTGACCTATCTTGAGGAATGATCGGACAAGACTTCTCTTTCGCTAAAGACACTGCAAGACTTGAGCTCATCACATCGGCGGCTGCCATCGAGTCTGAATGTTCAGAGGTTGCAGCGGAGTTTAGTTGCGCTAAAACCAGGCAGATGAAGCACAAACATTTGACCAAACCAATTACTTACAAACGTTTTCAACAAATCACTTGGATTTTATTTTTAACTTTTTCAAAGATATGTTATTTTTGGGCTAAATTTCTAAGTCAATTCTATAACCCTCAATGTTTAAGAAAGCAAACGCAAACGATGTCAGTAGCTACTTAATACATGATTTACCTTGTAATACTTTTTCCAGAAGAAATGTGTACTTGATTCCGCTAGCAGTTACTCGGCTACCCAGCTTGCCTGAACTAGCATACACAGGTTGATTACTCTTGTTCGGTTCCAGGGGGTACAACTTGCGTCCTGAAATGGGACTCAGTGCGTACCGTATTCTATTCATGTGCCTGCTTTTAGCCAGCGACATTTTTGTAATTTTCGGTTCGTTCTTGACAGGGTTTCTGAACTTCTGCTTCGAGAACCTGCGTGGGGGTGTTTTTGAGCTTCGCTTTTGCTTGCGCTCTGGTGTCACCTGACGTTTTCCGTGTTTATTGGTTGCACTTTTCGACCTGCCACTTGAGGATGATGAACAAGAAGATTTTCCTGAAGCACTTCTTGAACTATCGGAACTATCATCTTCAGATCCATTCAAATCAATGTAACTTGAAGTCACTTTCCTCTTGTACTTATCAACCGATTTCTGTCGTTTTCGACCTCTGAAACCAGAATCATTACCTGCTGAATTATCTAGTATCGTATTCATTTTTTTGTCATTATTCGGACCCTTCACAGCCGATATACTCATGTTGACTACCTGAAATTGAATCAAATTCGCTAAGATAGGCAACCCGTGATGTTGCCAATTTACAGCCATTTGCTCTCAGAATACATGCTAGTTTGTTCAATTAAACGTGCGATTCACAAGTCTAATTTCTAATCGAGCAAAGTAAACAGAGACAAGTTTAAAAATTCAACAGCACCAAATTCAATTTAAAACTCAAGCGGTTGCCATCATTACTAGCTGTTTTCTCTGCCTTTTCGTCAACTTCTTCAATTTCTTGGAATTTGTGATCGGTTGCACTACCATAGATTTCTGCTCGTTCTTTTTCTTCTGTTCGATTTTCTTCCTGCGTCGCTCCTTCCGAGCATCTTCTTCTTTCTGTGCTTCCTCTTTCAACTCTTGCTCCATCAATTTAACTTGTTTCAGTTTCTCCCGCTCTTCCTTCTTTTTATCCCATGATGTATGGAAAGCCTTGTCTACTTTCAGACTGGAGAACTTGTTGAAATTATCTTTATTTTTCCAAGTTTGTTTGCCCATTGCTACCTGAAACTTTGAACAGCATGAAAATTTGTTAAAAAATAACCACGCCATATTTCTGGAATCAATAGTTTCACTGCTACTTATGGCTGACCGCTCATTAATGCGGAACACTAGTGTCAAACTTTACGCATTATTTAACTGCAACTTCTAGTTGAAAATTGGCGGACCATTCATTTGCCAAGTTTTGAGGAATTTAGCGCTTCATTGAACTATTTTGTTGCAGTTGCTCTCATTCAAAGGTTAAACTAAACCTACTTCATTTTTAAGGACCTTATTTCGAACTAACTACAAAAATTGCCACTCAAAGTTGAATTAACATCATAACTCGCAGATCCAACAATGAAATTGAGCAATCAGGAGTTTTCATTGCTGTCAATTCAGACATCGATTTCTGCAGCTAAACATTCCTCCTCAGTGTTTATTTGCTGGTGTCGATGACGTAAGTGAGGGCACACTTTCCACAGTAGTATCTGTCCTTGTGGTTGGCCATGAAGATACCAGCGCCGCAGTTTTCCGACTCACACTCCTTCCTCAGTCGGGTGATTTTACCACTGTCGTCCACTTTGTAGTATTTAAGCACAGGAAGCTTGACCTACAACAAAAAAAAAAACTCGTTTCTAGGCTAACTTGACTTGAGCATTCATTTTGATGTTTGACTACCTATAATACCACTTCAAGTTCGATTTCCAAGATTCAAAAGCAGGAGCGGATATAGTATTTTTTCATACAGATTTATACAAAAATCGACAATTTTGTCGACTTTTCTGTAGATCGACCAGTTTGACTCTACCAGGTCTCCAAAAACTCTATAATTACCTTAAATCGCTAAACCTTTTGATAATAAAACTTTGATCAACATAGCCAAGAGACAGTTGGGAAAGAAAAATGAACGCAAGAAAACAAAAAAAGACGTTTTTGCAAAATTTTCAACTTTCGAAATTCAAAATTAAAAAAATATATATATGGCCTTAAAGCTCTTTCAATGTCGTGAATATTTTATGATGGAACTTTTTTGATAAAATTAACTCAATTCCACAAAACTGGATCAATAGGTAAAGTTTTAATCCGTTGGGATACCTGAAACTTTATCCACTTTCGAAATTAGAAAACGATCACATTTTGTGACTTCTATACTTTTGATGTTCGATAGTGAAGTTCGCATTCCTTTTGACAAAGGATATTAACTTTAAAAAAAGCACAATTCAAACCGCAAAAAAAAACAAATTTGAGCGCGAACAAATTGAAGACTTTTCCTGAAAAAAAGCAAATCATCACTCATATAAGAGTTCACTACATCCATCGACTCTCTTTGGAAAATAGCTGCTTTTTTCAGAAGGTTTCAAAAGGAAAAGGCTGGCTAGTCCCTTAAAATTACTATTATTCACTTCTTGACAAACCGGTCAAAACGAACAGAATTTGGAACTTTTAACGCGTATGTCTCAAATTGCGTTGACGTTAGACAAAAAGTGATGTACACAAAAAATGGCTTAGACTTTTAACATAAATAATATGCTTTTTTTGCTAAGTTCCGGCCCAAATGTTAACATAAAAGAGGGTTCTTTTTGGCTCATTTGCTTCAGTCAAAAACTACACAACAAGTACCGGAGCAACTGATGAGAAAATTATATCAAATTTCACCTCTTGTGCGGCCCAACAAAGTTCAAGGTTTTAATCTCTCAAAATTTGTAGAAAGGAATATGTTTTTGTTTGACAGTCAAAAAATGTCATTCCTGACATTTGACAGTCAAAATAACTTCATAAAATGTCAAATTGATCTAAAACGTTTTAAAACGTTTCTGCGCATTTTCCGGAGAACATACCCTGCTTAAATTTCGTTGGGCAACAGAAGAGGTTGCTCCAATACTTTCGGCGTAAACTTTGATTGAAGAAAATGAATGAGCCAGAAAGGAACCTATTTTAGGTTAAATTTTCGGGTCCGAATTTTGCCAAAAATGGATCATTAGTTCTGCTATAAAATCTAAGCTACTGTTGTTCTTATCAATTTTTGTCTAACGTGTCAACCCAATTTGAGACAAAAGCGTTCAAAATTTTCAATTCTGTTCGTTTAGTCCGGTTAATTCAAATCAGCACTGCACTTGCCAATGCCAATTTTGTCCAAAATATCTTTAGTTGAGTTGTCTAGAAAACAAATAGTTGAGGTGTCTGTCCGAGCTGACGCGGCACTGAGCGAAGAAGACAGTTCAAAATGAAAATACAAACTATTCAGCAAAATTGAATTCTAAGATTACTCAGCCTACTTTCGAATAATTAATTTTTGAAAAAATCCATGTCTGGGGTCACTTCACCCTGTTCAAATTATAGGTCAGTAAAAAAATATGTTGAATTGAATCCAAGTCAGAAAGCGGTCAAAAAAGTTTTGTTTTACCTTCTTTGTCTTCTTCTTGATCTTCTTGGGGGTAGTGTAGACCTTCTTCTTTCGTTTCTTACCACCACCAGACAGACCAAGAACAACGTGAATTGTTGATTCCTTCTCCACTCCCTCACTTAGTAGCTCATCTCCGTCTTCTAGTTGTTTGCCTCCAAAGATAAGTCTCAATTCTTCACTAGGGATCTCCTCCTTGTTCTCGATTTTAGCCTTGAGTACTTCAACGGTGTCTGTTGGCTCAACATCCAAGGTGATAGTTTTGCCCGTGAGGGTTTTCACAAAGATTTGCATTTTCCCTGAAAAAAAAAGAGAACGCTAACATGTACGCTCTAATAGTTTGTTTACCATCGAAAATAGGGGTAAAATTTCTTTATTTGAATTTTAAATTACAGCAAAACATCTATTTCAGTTTTAAATTCTCTCACTATTAGATTAAATTTAAACGGAGCATCAACACTATCTGGTAGAAAATTAATCAAATTGTTAGTCGTTGTAATTGAAATAAACTCTCATGTGCTTAATTATCGATGGCTCCTGAGAAAAATCTGGTAGAAGTTTTAGAAAAATGAGCGTCAGTCATTGTAATTGCAACATACTGATGTGCCTAATTATGAGGGCCCCGAAATTGTCATTAAAGACAAGTTGGGATGGGATATTGGATTTAACTCAAAATTTAGATATCAAAAGAAGAAAGGTAGAAAAGTTAATAAATTTACTTAGACATTTTAATTTTCCAATTTGGAAATTTAATACTTCTCTTAAATGTAAGAGAAAAATTAACAATTCTCCAGTTTGAGAATTGGACTATTTGCTTTTTCTCTCTTTTTGAGATTTTAGCAATTTTCGCGAAATTTTAGAAGGTGTGCCTCACTATTCGCACCAATTTATTACGTTAGCAATACTTATGTACGCCGGACAAAGCGCTTGCTAGTAATATAGGGTCCTATCTTAGAAAGTAAATCTAAAATTCGCTGGAAATAACTTTCTACTCAATTGGGAAATCTCCCAATCTGTCGTAGAAAAAAATTCGTAATCTCTCGTGAATGTTATTGGTGCATTCGTATTTTACTAGAAGAGTCGTTCGAATAATCGTATTTTACGAGAAGAATCGTTATTATTCGTATTTAACGAGAAAAGTAGTTTTAATTTCCAATGCTTAAAACGTTATACGAGTTATTCCAATTGAATTTCCGTTAATTTTGCAAGGGGATAAAAACATTTATTTTATGGTGGCGGCGGCGTCACGCTTTATGAGCACAATAAAATTAATGTTTCTGTTTCAATCTGAAATCAGAACACAACCCTGCAAGATAGGGGGTTTTTGCAATTTTAGTTTCTCGGAAATAGTCATTATGAAAATTCTCTTTAAATTTGGGAGCCTCTTGCTCAAGCGGTTATGTCAAATAGCTCGTCCGGAAAGACAGAAATTTAAATAGCAGTTGAGAACAAAAAAAAACATAAAAAAGAAACAAAAGGCAGGAGTCAAGCCAAAACTGAACGAAATGCTGGAGAATTGCAACGAAGATCAGAAAAGAATGATAGTAGCATAAGAAAAAAGATTCGGCGCACTGCTCCCTGTTGAGAGGTTTTCAATGACCAAAGCTAATTTCAGAGACGACTACACACCAGATACGGTCAAAACTTAAGCTTCTTCCAGTCAAAAAAGCTGCTTCAAAGGCTTCAGCACTCATTGTCATTGTAAACGTGTGGAATTCACAATATCTCTAGGCCGACCTTTCACTCTACTTCGTGTCGCCGCTATATGTTTCCCTTTTACACTGGGTCGGTGGGGCAACCAAGTACCAGTGCTGTTCACAATCCCAAAAGGGTTAATTTGGTGGATAGCCGGTCTGTATCGTATTATGTTGCTCGCCCCCTTTTGTGGTGCTCTTCCGGCTGTACCTCTCTCGTCAATCGATAATCGCTCGCAACAACACTTTTCGATAATAAGAATGAATTAAGAGATAAATATAATCCAACTACAGAATGGCCTATAATTGGCCCAGATAAAAATTATTCGTTCAATTAAGGAGAAGGGTTTGCGATTATTATTAATTAACTAACTGCCTCTAACAGTTATCAGCACTTCACTAATATCAACTTCCAGAGGTGCCTCTCTGAGTTTCACTTTCTTCTTGAAAGTACTTAGAAAAATTACCCTACCCGATAAATTAACAACTTTCGCGAAGTTGTTCCTTTAAGGTTTTTCGTAACTTTTTCTAACCAACTTGATTAGTCTCTCCTAATTTTTGTTCTGTCTTTGTCGCAAAGGTCGACCGGAACGTTCGTACCTTAAGTCTATTTACCCTTAGTTTTAGTTAGAGATGCCATCCCCTTATAAGTCTTAGCATTTACCTTTATGCCTCCTACGCAACGTTCCAGTTCATAAACTCGGCATGATCACATTAATTTAAATGCCAGGTTCCAAATGCCAATCAAAGCTATGCAAAACAAATAGCAAATGCAACTTCAACTCAATCCAAGCTATATTTACATATCAACATTACCAAGGACTTTATTTAACTTTCCCGTAACTTTTCCCGTCTCCCACACTTAGGGTAAATTCACAAAGGACTTAGTTTCCTAATTATCATAATCCAAAAATTCCCATGCATAACC